GGTATAAGAGCCAGAAGCCCAAAATGCAGGTGCAGACAGGCTCTGAGGGGGATCCCCAGCTTGCAGTGTTTGCCGCAGTCCTGGTGTCCTTTGGCTGGTGGCCACCTCACTCCAGTCTCTGCCTCCACCGTCACACGGCCTTCTCCCTGCCGGTCTCCCTGTGGCTTTCCCTCTGCTCTTGGAGTTAGGGCCCACATGGTTAATCCAGGATGATTTTATCTCAAGGTCCTTCCCTTAATTCCATCGCCAAAGGTCCTGTTTCCAGATCAGTTTGTGTTCAGGATTGGTTCTGGTCCAAGACCCTGAATTCACCACCTCCAGGGACACCCCAAATCCAGCGCTGTTAACCAAGCAATTCCTCCTGAAGAAGAACTGAGGGCTGACTGAGCACCTTCTGTACAACAGAGCTAGAGACCATGCAGAGAGTGTACAGAGGAGGACATGATGGTGGAGGGGCCCCCCACCCCTGGTGCTGTGAACTACTACCTTGAGCACATGCATCCGCCCCAGGGCACAGAAAAAAGCCACAGCTGAAAAGGTCAACTAGCTTATAAAAGAGACACCCTTAAAATTGTACCAGACTGTGGAGAGCTTCTGGAACTCTCTGGGGCTAGGGCTGGTGAGCGTCATGGCTTACGTTCCCCTGCCCCTTGATAGTGTGGATGGGAGCAGGGTCCAGGTGTCCTGACCGGCCTGCCGCCTCTCCTAGCCCAGGTCCCTGAGCCCACACCAGCCCCAGCCACTCCACAGAGAGGTGGCCCCTGCACCGTGCACACTGGGGCACCCCTGCACGGTGCTTACTGCATCCTGGAACACTCCAGACCCTCACCACCTTGGCTTCCTATGCCTTGCTCGCTGCTCCAGGGTCTCCCAGCCACCCCACCAGGGCGCCCCCTGTGCTGAGCACCTGGGACACCCCGGCTTGCACCCACTCCACCGTCCGCTGTCTTGTCAGGATGCCCCCTGCATGGACAGTCCAGGGACCCCCCAGCCCGTGCCCACTTCAGCTATAGCACTCCCGCCAGGGCACTCTGTGCACAGCCCCGCCTCAGCTGTCCCGCCGGGTGCCCCCTGCACCAGAGCCCAGAGCTTGCATCCTCCTGTGCTCGCTTCCCCACACATACTGTCCTGCCAGGGTGCCCACACGGGGGAGGTCCTGGGACCCCTCCGTTTGTAGCCGCTTTAGCTCCAGCTGTCCTGCCAGAGTACCCTCTGCGTGGGGAGCGTCGGGGCTGTCCCTGCCCAGGACCGCTGGAGCTCTGGCCATCCCACAGGGCGGCCCGGCACGGAGAGCCCCACGACCCCCAGCCTCCGCCAGCCGCAACTCCATCCCGCCAGTCACCCGGCATGCATAATACCATTCCCTCAGGTTTAGGATTCATAAAAACACACAGAAAGTCCAGCAGGATGGGTCGACAGAGGACTGTGCTCCGGAAGAACAAGACACGACGTCGGTGGAAGAACGACCTGACGCAGAGGTAAGCGGTGTGCCTGAGGGAGAGTCTATCGGTCGTACAGATGCTCACTCGGTTGGAGGGAAGGGTGGGTGAACTCAGACCCTCAGCAGAGACAGGAAATGCAAAGCAAAGCCAGTTGGGGCTGAAGAATACAGTGACAGAAATGGAGACCACGCCGAGGGTCCACAGCAGACGAGAGGATGCAGAAGCACGGGTCAGGGATGAGGGAGATGGAGGAGTGGAAAGCACCCAGGCTGAGCAGCAAGAAGAGGAAATGACGGCTGAAACGGAGGAGAGGGCGAGGGATGTCTTGGACACGTCCAGTGAACAAACATTCCCTGTAGAGGAAGGGGAAGAGGTAGAGAAGGGGCACGAGACCTCTTTGAGGACCGACAAGGTGGCACAGGAACCGGGCTGAGCACGTAGACACGTTCTGAAGGGCCACTCGTCAGCCCCATCCGTGGGACACACACCTGCTTCCGTACAGTGTGAGGCCCTGACTTCGGCAGTGGGGGTGGGGCGCCACGGCTTCCCGTCCTAAGCAAAATCCCAGGAAGGAGGAGAGATACGCGTTCTCTCGAATGCCAAAAGTGTCTGTGGTACTCAGAAAAAAATGGGCGCTTCAGAAGAAGTGGGGAGTCGGTGAGACGCAGGTGCAGCTCCAGACCGACGGGCTTCGTGGCCGAGCGCGTGGCGTCACCACGTGGTGGGAGCCACGGTGCGCTCACTGCGGATGTCAGGGACATCCTCACCCTGCCTGGCGGGAGCTCATCCTGAGATGTTTGCCCCCGGACGATGCCCCGTGGGGCTTACCTCAGAACAGTGAGGTGGCAGCGGGGCCGCGATGTGGGTGGGCAGAGGGATGGCGTGAGGGTTGAGGTAAACAAGGCGCCCCGCACCTGACTTCACTGTCTCCCGGTGCTGGCGGCATGAAGTTCGGTGCTGGCGGCATGAAGTTCGTGCACGCCATCCTGCGGCGGTCACCACGCCCTCCGCACCGCACGCCCTGCAGCCCCGACGCTCCGTCCCCGGGAACGGCTCCAGGCTTCTTCCCAGCCCCAGCTCCCTCCACGCTGCTTTCTGACTCCACCAGTTCCCTCAGATTCTCAGAAGCACACAGACTTTGTCCTTTTACGACTGCTCGTTTCACTCATATGGTGTCCTCCTGGTTCCCCCAAACTCTAGTGTGTGCCGGGATTCCCTTCTGTTTTGGGCGGGATGGTGCCCCGTTGTGCGTGTGGGCCACCTTCTGTTGTGCTCGTCCAGCCGTGTGCAGACATGAGTGGCCCTCCGCTGCCAGGTGGCAGGGGGCGCGGGTGTCCCGTGCCTTGTGGGGACTCTGCTTTCAACTCTTTCAGGGACCTGTCCAGAACTGGGACTGCTGGATCAGGTGGTGGTTCTGTGCTTAGTTTCTGGAGCAGTTGCTGCAAATACATGTTTTCTAAAGACGCTGCCCTGCTGCGTTCCCACCAGCACAAGGGCTCCTGTATCCTCGCCAGCACTGGTTATTTTCTGGGCTCTTTATGGTAGGCGTCCTACGAGGTGGGAGCTGCCTGCTCACCGTGGTTTGCATCTGTGTGTCCCTCGTGACCAGTGATGGGGAGCATCTTCTCATGTGCCTGCTGACCACCAGTGCCTCTTGCTCGGGGAAATGTCTGTTCATTCTGCTCATTTTTAATCCAGTTGTTTGGTTTTGTTGTTGAAGTTCTGCTGACTTTTAAATCCAGGTTGGTGATGTTGATCTCACTCGTGAAACCAGATGTAATAAATAAGAGCATTTCCTATGAAACTCGGTTGCTCAGTGGCTTATGTGCACGTGAAATGGAACGATGCTATCAGCATCCAGCACTGTTGAAGTCATGGTTTCAAGTGTTGATTTTAATTTTGGAAGCATTTATTTTTCTTACCCACTTATATATGTGTATGTTTTTGCCTGACAGTATAAAAACCACTGAAGATACACTTTGTGAAAATGGCAACTAAGTTTCCGTAGAGTGGGCATTTTCTCTTATTTATCCGCATGGACCATGTGGGGGGTCATGCCTGGTGTGCCCCGGGGCCTGAGTCCGATGAGCACCTCACTGCCCACATGGCCACGCGGGTGGACTCCACGTTCTGTGCGCTAGCGTGGGGAGCCCCAGGGGCCACGCTCGCACCGTCTGTGATACACCTGCTGGAAGGACGCGTCTCCCCCAGCCAGGCCTGCCGCGTGTCCGTGGGATGGAATGGGACTGTTCCGCTGGCCGATGCGGGGGTCAGAGGGCCTCCCCAAGGCAGGGTCTGGGTCGGGTCAGGGCCCGCCTGCTCTGCCCCCTCGTCCTGCAGGCTGTCGCCTGTGTGGCAGCCGCTGCTGCTCTTCCTTGGTGTGCCCATGACTCTAGGAAAAGCTGAGCTTCCACATTCAGGATCAAGTCAATGACAGCCGACCCGTGTAAGACTGAGTGTGACACCCTGGGACCAGCCGTGTCCATGAGTTCCTTTCTGTGGTGCCCACCACCGGATGGGATGCTCTGCATGTTTCTGTCAACACACTTGTGCCCGTCCTGCTGAGTGACCGCTGTTGTCAGAGCAGTCTGGTCTCCTGATGTGATGAATGGATTCCCCGGCGCGTGGTGGAGCTGTCACTGCTTTCTTGTCGAGCGTGCTGGGAACCAGCAGCGCCAGCCCTTAGCCTCAGTGCCGGGCCCAGACCTCCGCCCGCCGGCTCGCCGCCTGTCCACGGAGCCTCCCCTGGATTCCAGACCAAAACCCACCCAGTGCCAGTGTGTTGAAAATAAAAATTGTGTGCACCTTTACCTTGGACGGGGTGGACTGCTGTATGCAGTTATTTTTTTTAACTATAAATTACCTTTTAAAGAAAACATGTTCAAGTTGTTGAGTTACTGCCTTAAATTCTGTTTCCTTATTTTAGCCAAAAAAAAAAAAGAAAAAGAAAAATTGGGAAAGCTTTTAATTAGATGTATTTAAATAGGAAAATGAACATTTTCCTCCACCTGCCTTCAGTTAAGTGCCTTGACAGTTAGCATTGTTTGGTTGATGCTTCATAAGAAAGTGTTCCTATGCAGTGGTGGTTTTGGTTAAGTCTGAGCCTGGAGGGGATGCAGGGAATGTGGAATCAGGAATTGGCACGTCATGAGTCCACGTCGGGCCTCCTGTTCTCCCATAGCCTGCTCTCGAAGTGTTTGTAGTATTGTTTGTAATGTCTGTGTTGTAGTGAAGTCTCTGAAGTCTGCGCCTCCCTTGGTTGCACGTACCAGAACCCCTGGGAGAGTGTGATCATGTTTCGCCCTACCTGGTCTGACATCCTCAAAAGAACCGGGGCAAATCTCAGATTCCTCACCGCAAACAACAGATGAGACATTAACTTTGTAACCTCAGACTTGTGATATGCTGCTTTGAAAGTTACTGGTTGCTTTCAGAATTCAACACGATTTTTGTTTTGGTCTCCTGAATTGCAAACCAATATTATCTTTTTTTTATAAAAGAAAAGCCAAATGAAGATCTCCCTGTGAAAGTATTTAATAAAATGTGTCTTTATTTCAGTATCTTAAATAGTGACGATGAAGAAATATTCAGTAATGAAGAGCAGGAATACACATCCAAAAAGAGGAAAAAGGATCATTTTAGAAATGATACAGATACTCAATGTAAGATCATTTTTATTAACAATTTTATGGTATTTTACTTGTTTAATGTACTGATATACTAAATTGTTTTGACAATGCTATCTTAAGAGATAAAGGACGATACGTGAGTGACAGTTCTCTCTGCCTACTGACTTGGTTATCAGACCGTTTGCAGCTTCACTATTTAGTTAGTAAGATCTGCAAAAACAAACAATAGCAAAGCCCACAAAGCAATCGTGCATCTGGAATGACTGAAAAATGGTCGTGAGTTCAGTTACCAGTTCACTCCCAAGCAAGGAGGCTAGACAGCACTTGACTGGAATCCTGCCAGAGCTGGACTGGGAATGCAGTCGGGCGGGGTAGGGAGCCTCCTGGCGGTGGCTCACCTGCGCGACAGGCCCCACTCCCCCCTGCGGCACAAGCAGGAGTCCTTGGCAGCGGTCCTAGGATATTCAGCCTCCTGGAAAAGACTGGGTACTGTGGAGAATAGAGTCGTCATGGTCCTTGAAGCTTTGGGACTGAGTTACATGAAAAAGACTGTAGTAGAAAAAGAAGAAATGTTAGGGTACCAGAATTAATGACCAATCACATTTTTATAGTCATGTTTTGATATTACTGCAGTTGTTCATAGAGCTAGTTTTCTTCTAAGTTGCAAAGATGTGGTGCTGTCTTAAGTCATTTTTCATGTAAAGATGTTTCAGCACCTCTTAAACTGATATCGGGGAAACAAAGCCGTTCTGTTGGCATTTAACCAAGTGATAGCATCTCTCATCTATATGATAAGTCAGATAATTTTGTTACCATTTACAACTGTTGAAGTTCCGTAAAAATCTTCATTTTAAATGATTTGCCAGATTTTAAAAACAAAGTTAATTTTTATTCTAGGTTTTTATCGTGAGAAATGGATCTATGTCCATAAAGAAAGCACAAGAGAAGTAAGTATTCTGTTATAATTAAGAGTATTCGGTGCTGTTTCTGTTGAGTACGTAATGTCATATTAAATAAATTCTGTCTCTTGCAGTATCAACTCTCTGGCTCACGTTCTAGCAGATGGAAACCTAGGATCTTTGAGGTGCTGATTCGTGTGTGCCTGTGTGCGCGCGCAGGTGCGGTGTGTGGTTGGTGCCCCCACTACCAATCTGAGGGCTGTTCAGAGCAAGGATTTGACATTTTCTCCCTCCGTCTCCCCAGAAGCCTCTGGGATTGTGGGCATGTGTCCTTGCTCTCGTGCGTTAGGGGCGCTGAGAACACGGGTGGCCCCCATTTAGAACTGCTGTGACACGGTGGTGAAGTCCGAACCTGTCCAGAGCAGTGCGAGCCCTCCCGCTCCTGGCTTCTGCCAAGTTGGCTGCAGCTTTTCTCGGAGCCGTTCGCTTCGACTCTGCTTCCTTCTTCTGTGCTCAGTACCCAGGGGTGCTTCCTTCCCTTTGCAGCCTGAGAAACTCTTCCTTTGCCTTGTTTGCCGCAGTCGGGGAGCATAGTCTAGGAAGTGGTTGTTTAGCACAGGTGTAAGTCTAGGAAGTGGTTGTTTAGCACAGGTGTAAGTTAGCCCTTCCAGAGGGTTACTGCTCAATGTTCCGGTGTGGCCCCGCTCCCCAGAAGCTTAGGGGCTAGCTTCTGAGCCGGAAGACTGATTTGGCCTAGTTCGTGGTGGTTTGGGCTGCTGTGGGTTTGAGATCCTTCCTGGCTCACACACACGCTGAGCGAGACCCGTCAGAGGAGCGCTTAACGGACTACTCAGTACTTCCCCTGCTCTGTGTTACCACACCCGTTACAGAGCAGAGACCCATTCAGAAGAGCATAAGCAGCAAAGGGAAACTTCTCATGAGTCTGCAGCAGTGTTGCGTGGCCCTGCGGCAGGGACACAGCCAGACTCAGGAGGGTCTGGGCTCCCTGCACTCAGCTGCATCTCTGGGCTGAGCACCTGATATGGACCAGGTATCGCCACTGCTCGTCCGTGTGGCCCACTGGGGCTGCCCCACAGCCTCTGAGGTTCCACATGTGGTTCCAGGCCCCCCAAACGCAGGCAGGCTCGTGTGGCCCAAACAAGTGTTTAGCAGTCTGTAAATCAGATTTAATTCCCTAAAAAAGAAAAGGCCGCTGTGGCATGGGTGGCTGCCTGGAAAGGGGTCTCTGTCTATACCAGTATTTAGAGTTCCGTTCATGGAGAAGAAAGAAATGTCAGCGGTGACTGCCTTCGGATTATCATCTATAATTAACCTTTGCTTCCTCACAGCTCCCAGGAGAACAGTTTGCATATAGTCGATACTCCTTAATAACATGTATTGTTTTAAAAACGTGTTTTGTTGGTTTGTGCACATATTAAGACTGTTCTTGGGATTTGGGCACAAAACCAAATCAACCTTCACGGGGCATCTTTGGTCTGAGACTCAGGTGTGCACTCTAGCTGTTTTGCTAGCTCCTGTCCCGCCATCCGTTCGAGAGGCGAGGGTAATCTGTGTCACCACATGTTTCTAGGATTATCACCAGCTCGTCTAGCCCCACAACTATGACTTGAAAATCTCTGTATACTCTCAGGATTTCAAATGCAGAAGCTTGAGTTTGAAATGACTCCTGACACCCAGTGTACAACCCTGTGTAAACCAGTGTAGACTGTAGGGCCCATCATGAGGGACACACAGCTGAAATAGATGGCAATGTTTTCAGTACTGAAAACACGTCCCATGTGTTCATCTGTTCCCTGGGCTCTGGCTCCTGTGGGTCAGACGACCAGCTCCTGGGTGTCACTGCCAGGCATCCCCTCGGCTCCCCACCTGGAAACCACACATAGTCACTTCCCCAGCCCTGGGCCTTGGGCCTTGGTCCGGTGCGCAGGGCACCCTCCAGACCCGTGGGGTCTGCACGGGGCTCCCTGCAGAGGAATTGGGTGTTCCTAGCGGGCACATCTTCATAGTAGCCGGGCAGATGGTTTGTGCATCTGTAGGTGCTTAGCCCAGAGCACATCCCATTGTGATTTCAGTTTCCCGCTTGTCCGCACAAGGGAAATCAACGAGATATTTAATAAGTATTTCTTTGTCGTGTCCATAGTGCTGTAAGATGGCAGAGCATAGTGTCTTCACTATACGCGACTTATATTTAGCATTGCTATTTTACTCCATGCTAATCTAAACATGGAATACATCATAAAAACAAATGCCCTTTGCAAAAATTTAAGAAAAAATTTGCACAGACATTAACTGTCACTTTATTTTGACTAATTGACTAATTATGGATTTCAACTGTCTTGTGTCTGTTTTTCCAGAGGCACGGCTATTGTACTTTGGGAGAGGCTTTTAATCGCTTAGACTTCTCAAGTGCAATTCAGGATATTCGAAGGTTCACCTACGTGGTCAAAGTAAGTCTTCTATTTCAAAAACCATTTCGAGGACACTTGATGGGCTGGGTTTTGAAGGTGACGAGTGTACGTATTCAAGACGCTTCTGGCGCTGGTGCTAAGCTGTGTTTGTGATGCAGGCAGAGCACGAGGAGTGAGCTCAGGAGGAGACAGAAATAGTGGGGGTTTCTCCCACGCTGGTGCCCCTCGTCCCACGTGCTTTTTCCCCGGGGCTGCCCCACGTTGCCAGTTTCACCTGGCCGCACGTGCAGGTGCATTGCCGTGGGAGACCCAGGGGGTGAGTACAGGCTCTTCCCGAGACTCTGACCTGATGGTTTCACCTGCATTTTCTACTCCGTGTCCCCCAGAAGGGTGAGCCCTGCTCCACAGACAAGCAGTGAGCTGGTAGGAGAAAGGGGATTGACACAGAGTGGGTCTCCACAGAAGCCTTGATTGTGCCTTGATTGCACTAATGATCTATTTGTAGAAGACGTTTTTATCTTGGCTCAAAAAGAATATATATCTTATGTAATGTGTATTATAGGCAAAGTTTCCTTAACGGCTTCTAGGGAATTAAAAGTGTTAGTGGCAGGACAGAAATACTGGGGTTAAATCACTTTACACCTGATGTAATAGTACCTGTTTGGTTTGGCCCCAGTCAGAGCTTGCCAGGGCGCCGTGTGTGACCAGTGTGGGGGGGGCCCCTCTGCTGCCCGTGCTTCCCGGGAGTCCCGCTCTCTGGGCCGATGGGGTGTATCCTGATGTGCACCCTGGCCAACGGGGCATGTCCATCACTCAACTCCTCTCTGGGTGAGGCACTGCGATTGGACTCAGCCGGTTCAGAGTGTCGAGAGTTCAGTGGCCAGGAAACTGTGCGTGAGCACAGAGGTCTCTGTTCAGTAATTGTTTCTCTGCACACCCTCTTAGAGTTCAGGACGACCTGAGTTGGGTCCTTGCCGTTCTTGAGCACCTTCACGTCGAGGTAGAGGGACTTCACTGCTGGGTCGGAGCTGGGACTCCGCAAGGGCATGAGCACTCTGTGCTCTGACGAAGCGGGTCCATGGGCCAGAGTCTGTCCTTCCCATCACCCGAACCTCCTCACAATTTGTTCGTTCCATCTGCATGCCACACTCTTACCCGCTGAAGAGGTCTTTCATCTTTTTGAAAATGAAAATACCTTTTTTAGCCTCATCCCAGCAGTAAGGGCTGTGAAACTGTATGTTTCCTCTGCTGGTTGTTTTCTGATACATAAAAAATGCGTAAGTATAAAGTTAAAATGTACTGCGTGCCTTGCTGACTGAAATGGTCTTGTGCCCTCCTGGAAGTACCACATGTCTCTGTACCGTCCCGCGGAGATGGTGAGTGAGGAGCCTGGTGACCCGGGGAGGTGCTGAGGCCAAGTGCGCGAGGCTTGCCCGGCTCAGTCACTGCTCGGTGGGAATCCTCACCTCTCACCCCCTTCCCCTGCCCCTTGGCACCCCCTTCAAAGGCCAGCAGGGCTGCCTTCCAAAAACCCACTTGCTATGTACGCCTTCTGCTAAGAGCAGGGACAGAAACCAGCGCTCAGCGATGCATCGGTGCACGTGCCGCTGTGGACATGCTGTGGATCTTAGCCCCCTGCCCGCCCTCTGGCACCTTCTCCACCCACGCCGGCTCGCCGGCTCTCCCCCAGTTGCATTCTGTGTTTTCATGTCTGGATGTGCTTGGGAACCCCTGGGCCCCACTCCGCTCGCTGCCTTCTCCTCCATGGAGATGCGGGGCCTCCTCCGCGTGCTTGGGCGCTTTCCTTGTTGCCCAGCAGGGCATGCGCTCCGGAGAGGGGCATGTGCTACTTGACCTCACTGACAGTAGACAACCTTGTCTGCAGGAGCCTCTGCTTGGGATTTTTGTGCTGCTTTACATGTTTATAGCAACTTTTCCTAGTCAGCAGCTAAGAGGATCCTCGTGGACTTCTTCCCATAATTAATGCTGAGCTGTCTGCACCCATTAATGTTGGAACACATACAAACAAGGCGTGAGGTGGCATTGTGTTTGAATTTCCTTATGTTTCTAAAGGTATTCAGTGATGGTTTCCCTGAGGATTTGTATGAAAGAAATTAAGAATATGTACTTTTCAACATTCTGTATGAGATTCTCTTGTTCCCTTAGAAATTAGCAATTTTAAACTGAGACTAATCAATAATTATTACATGTTTTCTGAATAAAATTTAGTATTAGTTTTACTAATTAGTAAAAATTATTATCAGTTTAGCATCCAATTACAAATGGTGTCAGTTGCTGAGGTAAAGATACGTAGTTCGGAGTGGACGTGTGGCCTTCGTTCTCACTGTGTTAGGTGTGAAATTCTATGTCTTCTACAAACAGAAATCCAGGGCGCCTGGGGGGCTCAGTGTTTGCCTTCGGCTCAGGTCATGATCCCAGGGTCATGGGATGGAGCCCTGCGTCGGGCTCTGGGCTCCGCGGGAGCCTGCTTCTCCCTTTCCCTCTGCCTACTTGTACTCTCTTTCTCTGTGTCAAATAAATAAAATTTTAAATAAAAATAAAAAAATTAAAACGCAAATCAAAACTAAGTTGTCTCCTGATAAGCCATTCTTGGGATTATCTGTTAATATTTTAATGTTTTTATATCTAGGTTACTTTAATAATTTTTCACAATTTTCGTCGGATTTTGAGGGATGAGTGTTGTTTTTCCAAGCTGTACTCACTCCACTTTTTAAAGGAGAAGAGAAAATTAATTTTAGATGCCGTGTTCTTCAAGCACGTGTAGCTGACTCAGAATCGGGGCTGAGCCGTTGGGTCCCTCCTGCCCCTGGTGCTGGTAGGAACCGTGGGGAGTGACTGTGTGGAGAGGACCTGGGGAGGGCGATGGGGGCCAGTCCCACCCCTCCTGCGCCAGGACAGGTTTCTGAATTCGTGTAAGTGGGCAGGTGCGTGTGCCCACATCAGGCAGCCGGGAGCTGAGTCCGGATACCAGTGCTTGCTCCGGGCCAACATGGACAACCTGCACTGGGGAGTCCACCCATACTCAGGCCACCTGCAACCGGCGGGCCATGTCATTGTCCTTCTTCACTAGTGCCCACGTTGCTTTTCATAAACGTGCTGCCATATATCAGCTTCAGGCTAACTGGTCATCATGGTGTCACACTGCTCTTAACACCTATCTCTAATTCAAAACCAGCTTCTTCCTGTTTTAATAGTTTGTGAAAATTGTCCTGGCCGGTTTACCAAAAGCCTTAGTATAATGTATTGAGCTATTAAATTTACTTCCAGAAAATCAATGCAAACTGAAATATTTCACTCAGTAGTAGTTTTTCTCTTATCAGCTGTTTGCAGTTATTTCATAATATACCTTGAAAATTTCCTTATTGATAAAGGAAAAAACGACAAGTCAAGTTACAGCTTAGATTTGACCCTTGGTGAGTGAACAGTTCTTTTTTTTTAAGATTTTATCCATTCATTTGACAGGAGTGGGAGCAGGAGAGGGAGAAGCAGACTCCCCCCTGAACAGGGAGCCTGACACAGGGCTCGATCCCAGCATGCTGGGATCACAACCCAAGCTGAAGACAGACGCCCATCCACCTGAGCCACCCAGGTGCCCCTGAGTGAGCAACTCTTAATATCTGATCCATAATTCAGCTCCCGTTTCATTTATCCCATTTATAAGTCATGCATAAGTAAGGTAAATGCATTTTTGGTCAGTTTTATGAGCTTACTTTCAGTAAAATGAAGACAGATTTGATGGAATTTTGAAGAGTTTACTTAAGATTAACCAGGCACTTGGAAACAGCAAGCTAGCAATTTCAGAGAATCTTCCGCACCAGATTCCAGCCACAGTCTGCCATAAACACTGGTCCTGTCTGTGAGTGAAGCCACATTGAGGGGGACGGGCACAGGCCATTACAGGCCCGGCGTTGCCCCGGGCATGGCCTCCCTCCTGTGTGGGTGGTCACCTGGAGCGTAGGGACTCAGCCTGCTTTGCTCACTGCAGAGCCCCAGTACTTGTGCGAGGCCACCTCCATCACGGTGGAGTGAGGGCATGCTGTCAGAGCCCTGGCAGCCTAGGTCGGCGGCCGGTACAGACCCAGGGCCGGCTAACACAGAGCTGGTCCATCCTTGCTGGGAGCTCAGGTGGTGTCTCCTGTGGATGTAACCTTCTTCCGCCTCCTATTGCCTGCGGGCTCCCAGGCCCTCCCATAGCACTGGGAGAACAGACCGTGCCCCCCACCCTGGGACGGACGGTGCCTCTGGGAACCAGAACGACGCCGTGGACAGCAGGGCGGTGTGCTGGTGGCAGGGGCAGCCACGGGTTGAAGGGCTGTGTGCCTTTTTCAGGATGTTTGTGAAAGCGGCAGCTGTCGACCTTTGCAAACACGTTAGCTGTGCTGTGTTCCTAAAGTAGGGACTCCTTGGGGGAGGTCCCCTCAGAAGCATCAAGTGTTTACGCCTTCACTTGGGCTGCAGGGGGCATGTGCCTGAGGTCCATGGTTCTTTCCTGCAGACGGCTGAGGCCTCTGCCATCGCTGGCGCGTCACTCACTCTTCCGCTTCCACGTGCTGACTCGCTAATCGGGTAGTTTTTATCGGAATCGCTTTGTAGTTAGAAGATAGTATGTGCTCGTGAAGGGAGCTGCACAACGCCGTGGGATGCTGTGAGCCGCCCCCTCCCCCCTCCCCCCCTCCTCCCGCACAGGTGGGCAGGCCCCCCCCCCCGTGGCCCCACCTACCCCACGGGTGGCCACTGTTCATTTCTCAGGTATTCAGGAAATGTTCTCTTCTGTACACAAGTGTGTGTGCCTATTTATACTTTTGTGGGGACGCACAGAATTTTAAGTCCCGGGTAGGACCATGCCATATGTTGGTCTGTGCTACCGAGAACAAGGCTTGGACTCCTTCCCAGACACGTGCACTTCTTGCCCTGTCCTGCATTTTCTCAGATGCCCGCTGTTCACCTTCTGGGGGTGTCAGAGCTGGTTCTTCACTTTAATTCCCTGTGAACCTGTAATTGGACATGTCGTACGTATG